TTAGGGCTTAGGGGTTTAGGGTTAAATAGACTTACCTGGACCCCCAGAAATGTGTGAAATAATTGCCTTTATGGCTGTTATTATGGTTTGAGGGCTAGTATGTTACATACTTTTGGGGTTTAGGTACTTACTTAGCCAATAGAAGAACTTTGTTAACTTTTTGGGCTTCCTTATTTGGTCTCTAGAATAAAGTTTGAACTATTTTGGGGCCTGGTCATTGGGGAAGAGAGCTTACCCCCGGTTCCTGGTTCTAGGATTTGGGGTTTGCAGGGTTGCAAGATTGAAAAGGTTTAGCGGACAATAACAACAGCAGTGTAGCCCACCAAACCCAGCTTGGGGCACTTCGGCCTGCTCCATGAAACATGATCAGGAGCGGCAAGAAAACAAACCTGGGTCATTGTCCTTGGTCGACTAAAGCCCCATAAAACGTTGTACAGAAAGCACAATCAGAAATGTAGATTCACCATTTTGGAAATGTATCCGCCCAAAAAGCCAGAAACTTGTGCAAGTTGGCTTGTGACTGTAGTCCCCCTTAAGTAGATAGAATACAGCCTTCGGTAAATCATAGTAAGATCCCCATTTACCTCATATTATATCTACTTAAGGGGGACCATACCCTAGACCCCAAGCCCTGAACCCTAAACCCCATATTCTATCTGCTTAAGGGGGCTATAGGTTCCGCCAACCGCGCCAGGTTTGGGTGCCAGCAGCAATGACTCAAGTATCCTTCCCGCCCTGCGTAAACTCTTAACCCAGCCTGCCTGTGAGTGATAGGAGTTCAAGGTTTATGGATTTACTGTAGGGTTTAGGGTATAAGGTTTAGGGTTTAGGGTCTATAGATCTCATCCTAGACATAGATTGCACCCAAGGCATCCCAGCATGCAAGACTCAACAGTTGCTCATGTTGTTCCTTGCTCGTGTCTATAAGTGTACGAAGTGAGCCAGCCACCATGAAATCGGCAACAAAAACTGACTGGCATCAATGGTGTTCGAGCCACTCCTCGCAGCTAGGTTACCACTTGGAAAGCCTTACATCATCGTGATGTGCAGCCTAGACCCATGTACATTGCAAAAAGCCACAGGTCGGGGAAGGGACCAGTTCTATCCAGGTATTAACCTGTACCTAAAGCCCTTAAACATTGTCAAAACGGCCATTGTTCTACATACATTGGAGGTCCAGACAGTCGTTATACTTATACCTTCCAAAAAAGAGGAGTCGGTGTTTGCTACAGTAATATACTAGACAGTCCAAATGCCAAAATAATATTTTCCAAGCCTATAACACCAAGTAAATACATGTTTCAGGGGTATGTGGGAGGTCTAGGTAGCTACAGAAAACCACCAACTAGCTGGCAACCCTAAATCCTGTAAACCCGACGCCCCAAACCCTGAACTCCAAACCCCGAACCCCCAACCCTATCCCTAAGCATCAAAATGACGTAAAAACCTTATATACTATCGTCTTTGGGCCCAAATTCCTTCAAATATGAATCCTTAGATGCTTAGGGTATGGGCCTAGGTGTCATGTGCACATTGACCCGAACTGCATCCGACTAGAACCGGGCTTCAACAAGAAGGCGGGAGTGCTTAGGGTTAAGAAGGAGGGTTTAGGGTTTAGGGTTTAGGGGTTTAGGGTTTAGGGTTTAGGGTTGAGAAGGTTGAGGGTTTAGGGTTGATAGGGCTTGTAGGTAGGGTTTATAGTTTGTATGGTTGATAGGATTTATAGGGTTTAAAGGGATTGTAGGGTTGATAGTTAAAGATTTATGGGGTTTAGGGTTGCTGGGGTTTAGGGTTTATAGGGTCGAAGGTTTACAGGTTTTAGTGTTTATAAGGTTTGGGGCTGATAGGGCATACAGTGTTTAAGATTTGCACGGTTGTGAGTTTGTGGGATTTACAGGGTGTATGCGTTAGAGTTCAGGGACTTGGCCGTAGGCTTTAGGGCTTAAGATTTAGGATTCAAAGATCTATATACGCAGTGGGACATTCCAACATTCTCCATATTCATTTCAAGCTTTATGTGCCGCTCACATTAGAAAGCAGGGCCCCACATAGCAAAAGCTCCGCAAGAAATTTGACAACCAGCATCCACAGCAAGGTTACAACGGTCTGCGCGCTCCGGAGATCAATGCAGGAGATGGTCTAGATCTTCCTAGGGCCCAACCCTAAACCCTAAGCCCTAAATCTTATAAACCCTAAATCCTAAACCCTCAATCCTAAACCCTAAGCCCTAAACCCTAAACCCTAAACCCTAACACAACATCACATGTTAAAGACGGTCTTGCAAGATTGGCTTGGAACCTTCCAGGTGATTGGACGGGGCGGAAGCAACACCTGGCAGCAGCCTCGGGTTTCGGGTTTAGAGTTTAGGGTTTCGGGCTTAGGCTTTAGGGTTTTGGGTTTAGGTTTCGGGGTTTAGGGTTTATGGTCTAGGGTTTAGGGCTCAGGGTTTAGGGCTTAGGGTTTAGGGGCAGCCTGGGGAGACACTTGGTTTGGCCTGGTTTGTGTTGTAAGGCTTAAGGATATATAGGGCTTAGGGTTTCGGGTTGGGGGCTTAGGGCTTAAGGATATAGAGGGTTTAGGGTTTAGGGTTTGGGGTTGAGGGCTTAAGGATATACGGGTTTGAGGGTTTGGGGCTTTGGGTTGAAGGGTCTTCAAGCAGATTTAAGGGAAGGTCAAGGTGGACTCGAGGCATGGAGGTCCCATATGAGGAGGCCATGACCCTAAACCCTACCTAGAAAGCCTAGTTACCCATAATAATGGGCTACGTTAACCCAAAGTAGTAGGAAATTAGGGGAAAGTTGCCTATTATTATGGGTAACTGGCTTTCTAGGTAAACCCTCAGGGTTTGGTTTCAGGACTTCTGGTTTTGGTCGGGTTCAGGGTTCAGGGGTCTGGAGCTTGGTGAGTCAGGTGTCCAGACATCCCAGGACCGCAGGAATTACGTATCTTGAGCTTCTGCTAAACTTCTGGTGTAATGACCAACCGCCTTCCACTTTGTGTCCCTCTGACGCCAGCTGGCATCTTGCAACCTGTAGTCCTCCAAGACATGCTTGCCAACTTCACGTCGGCTGCGGACTATCTCACCCAAAGAACAACTGAGCTATAGACTAAACTCCTTAAACAGGGTTATATAGGGGATTGTATGGGGAACTACTACAGGATTTGGCACGAAACTGTGGATGCCAGTTGTGGGGAGTTCCCAAACACAACAGGATGTGTTCTCTTGGGCATCATGTGAGCGGACACCAAGGAAGGCCCTGCAAGATGAAGAACGCACAGCAGAGTTGTTGGCGAAAGTATTGCTTAGCAATGCCCAGCCGGAGCCTTTGCTTGAAGCAGCCCTATAAGGCGCTTCGTGAATGCCGACCGAAAACAACCCAAAAGGGATTGTGTTCAGGACTCGCCGATGCGGAGATGGACAAGGAGACGCAGCGTCGCTTTCAGCAGGCCTGCGTTCTCCTCTAAAACCCGTGAAAGGTTTAGGGTTTAGGGGCCTAAACCTGAAACAACCCTACCTCGACCCCCCAACATACTCGTGATGGTATGCCTGAACCCAAAAGCATGTGGAATAATTGCCTTTTGGACTGTTTTTGGTATTTTTTGGGCTATTCGTTTACTTACTTTTGGGGTCCAGGTATAGACTGTAGATCCATGACTTGGGGGTAGAAAGCTGTTATCCTAAATACTTGGGAGGTCTACCGCCCTAAACCCCTAAACCCTAAACCACCTAGGTGAGACCTAAGCCCCAAGCCCTAGACGGTAAGGCAGATCAATTCCGTGACCGGGGCGAAGGCGAGGCTCCATTCAACCTTCGTGATCTAGCCGCGGAAAAAACCCAACTGATAAGCAGGTAGTGCCGTTGATGGCACTAGTGCTTCGTAGTGTCGTCACATACCTCGTAATAGGAGGCTTTAGAGTTTAGCTTTGAGGATGTACGGCTGAGTGTCTAGGCGTTGGGCTTTAAGGCTTGGGTTTTAGGTTTCAGGGTCTAGGGCTTAGAGTTCAGGGCTAAGGGCCTGGGAATCAGGGCACGGGAATCCCCGAAAAGGTAGCCAGCTTATTCAAGCAGAATGGAGGATTGTATTCGAATTCCGTGAGGATACCCCTATATCATCAGCTAATGGTGTCTTATATCTGGGCCTCTACTTTAGTACGGGCCCCAGTATTAAATTTCCAGTGTTTGAAGGAGTGCAGTTTGGGCACCTTTCCTGTGAGATTCCCAGAGGGCAAAGGTACCCAATAGATCATATCGGGATAAATGTGTTCATTATCACAGCAATTTCAGTTTGCGTTTCGGAAAAGTATATACCTGGGCCCCCAACAGCAGGTAAAAGAGTAGCCCAAAATCCTTCAAACAGCACCTAAAGGCAATAATTTTACATACTTTTGGGGTTCAGGGAACCGTTTGGTAAACCGCAAGGATGTTGCGTTAGCGCTTACAGCTCTTCTTCTGTTTTTTTGTATCCCTCGTCGTCTTAGGCAACCCTAACTGTAGTCTAAGCGGGAAGTATTCTTAATCTGTACTATAGTATAGCCCTAAGGAATTTCTAATAAATACTGTTGTTATTATAGGTCTAAGGAGACTATAGCTAAACCCTGAATATCCCTTCCTTGTATAAGGTTCCGCCAGCCCGCCGAACTAGACTAGAAGCTTCTCCTAAAAGTAAACGGATTTAATGGGAACCCCAAACAGGGAACTTCAAGAGTATAGTAGGACTAGAATAGGAAAATACTTACGAGGATCCTTATATTCTATTATATTCCTACTATATTCTTGGGGTGCCTTGTGTGGGGTTCCCATTAAAATCCCTTTAGAAAGGAGCCTCTCAGCAATCTTTCTGATCCTGAAGCGGGATCCACACTTATTGCAATCCCCAGCATACCCATATCTCCGGGAATTTCTGATGGTTTCCTTGTTTCGAGGACACCGCCATGTCAACCCACCCGCAGCCGTGACTTTCCACCAGATAACTCACGCAACGTAGACTAGCCACCTAGCCATGTTCCGCTTTCTCCTGGTCACTTTGCTGCTTGGGTGCACCTGCGCAATCCAACAGTCCATAGGAATTGGGGCTGACTGCGGTTTTGATTCTATAGCTTGTTCAAGTCAGCTATGGCTCAAGTTAAGCCAGTTTCGATGGCCGTGATGCAAATGCAGGCATACTCCTCAATGAAGGCGTTTTGAACATTGTTTGACGGATCCCTAAACCCTGGGCCCTAAGCCGTAATTCCGAAAGACCTCGGGCACGACCTTAAGCATTTTATAAGTTGACAAGCCCTAAAATCCTGGCCCTAGGCCCGAACAAAAACTAGAAGCGCATCACGGGATGATGACTACTTGAAGGTTCATATATATATATATACATATATGTATAGGACTTAGCAGGTACGTGTACCTGGGCTAATAGCAAGGGTAACCCAGTCAGGGGGATCATATGTAGCGTTAGAAGCCCAGCTATAAGTGACTGAACCCCATGGACACTAAACCCTGAGCCCTAATCCTAAACCCTACACCCCAAGCCCTCAATCCTCAACCCTAAACAGCATAGGGGCCCCGCGGGTTCAACAATGAGGGTTCAGGGTGTTTCGTGTGCTTTCGGACTTAGGATTTGGGTTTGTAAGGTCCTTACCCTTAGAAAGGACCCTAGAAATCCAAGTACACAAATAGTACCTACATTGGGCCCTCTCGAGTGCAGTTGGCGATGTAGGTAGAAACTAATTATCAGGACCTGAATAAGATCTAGGTCCTCCCAAGCCCTCAACCGTAGACGTAGGGGATGCGCTTTTCATTTAGGAGGTTCTATCGATTGGAAGGTGATGCAAGGGGGCAGGCTGAAGAGAAACCTGAAACCCCCAAACCCCCAAACCCTAAGACTTAACCTGAATCGTGCAAATCCTATAGCCCTATAACCCGCAAAGTGGCTAAACCCCTCAAGTTGTGTTAGAAAAGGTTTTGGAGGCTTAGGACTGGACACGCCGCAAGCACCTGCCCATACTCCTTGAATCGAAGCCTCAATACTTGGAACGCGATAAAGGTTCAGGGTTTTAAGGTTTTAGGGTTTAGGGTTCACGGTTCAGGCCTTAAAGGTCAGGGTTCAGGGTTTGGGGCTCAGGATTCAGGGTTTAGGGGTCGCGGTTCAGGGTTTAGGACTTAGGCTTTAGGGTTCTGGGTTTAGGGCTCAAAAAATCCAAGGTTGCTGCCAAATCCACAAGGTCCAAATCTCGTGCCCTTTGTTGAGAGTTCTTGGTGTCAAGTTACTTGGACGCTAAGGGCAAGCGAAGCCACAATTTTCCCATATTTGCTCTGAACCTAAAACCACATGTAAGCCTTTCACCCCGAAACCCGAAGTCCGACACCCTACATAAGCCTTACGGAAGTTCTAGATGCATGAAAGGAGCCCGCTCACCCTTCGAGACCCTTCATACTTCGGGGCTCATGCAAAACCCAAACCCTCAACTCTAAACCCTGCACCATCAGGTCCCTAAACCCCAAACTCTGCACCATCAGATCCCTAAACCCGAAACCCTAAACCTAAACCCTGCAGCATCAGATATCCAACCCCTGAACCCAAAACCTAAACCCTGAAACCTTACACCATCCTGCCCCCTAAACCGTTACTCAGCTCAGGCTGGTCTCGGAGAGCTCCGCGACATCCTTGCGAGCAGAGCGGTTGCAGACGGCGCAAAGCTCCCTGTCAAGATGTTGGTTTTGGGTGTACCCTAAGTGTCCAAGGGCCCAAATAGTAGGGTTTTAGGGCCCAAATACCATTAATATAGTATTAGGGCCCTAAACCCTATCATTTGGGTCCTTGGACCCTTAGGGTTTGTCGTTTGGGGGCTTGAGGGTTTAGGAGTGTGAGGGGTGCAGTATTTGAGAATTGGGGCTTAGCGGAGGACGGAAGGATTTTGGGTTCGGGAGGGTCTTGGGGGTTGAGGAGTTGGGGTTTGGGGGTTCAAGGTTTAGAGAGCCTATTCCAACAGCAGCCGGAGTATAGTCCTTTGCAGAAAGCCTGGAATCTACAACCTCATATCTGAACTCAAAAACACTGAGTTTGGCTGGTCCTGTGTTGGCAACCTTGACGGGTGAGTTGAGATTGTACTTATACATAATATAAATCGACTTAAGAGGATAGGGTCGGGGCTTCTGGCGGAGGTCCAGGTCCTTGTCTTTTTGCTGCTTAGGGTTTAAGGGTTTACGGTTTAGGGTTTCGGGTGAACTGGTTTCTGAGGCCCTGGAGGGAGTTCTTGCGCTTTGGGCTTTAGGTTAGGGTTTGGGAATCTTCCTGAGGGGCTAGTGAATGAAAATGATGATTCCCTATGCGAACATCCAAAGACTTCGAGTTGTTGGATGGGTTCGGGCATGCAGATTCTTAAACTCATGGTTTGGGGTTCAGGGTTTGGGGCTTACGTAGGCTTTAGCGGGGCTTCTTAGGCCAATGCCCCTACAGTAGCCTCGAAATGCGGATTCAATAAAGCCCCAATATACCTACCCCAGTCTGATTACCGGGTGGGAGATTAACTCAAGGGACTTCTGAGTTTCAGGCTTCAGTCCTTGGCTATTCGGGTTCAAGATTCAGGGTTTGGGGTTTAGGGTTTAGGGTTCTTGGCTCAGGTGCTGGGTGAAGGGTTCGAGGTTTGCTGGCTCAGAATCGCCTTAGGCTTTCTTCCTGGCATATCCCTGAAAATGCTTCGAGGACGTCGGGACTTTAATTTAGGATTTAGCTATGCAGGGCTTTGGGGACTCGCGATGGTGAACAAGAACAACGCAGGGCTTGAACGACCCCGTTTAGGGATTAGAGTTTAGCTTCTACTTAGTTTTTCTGCCGTGAAGCGCACGCGGCCCACATTTTTTGCCAAGGGGCATCCAGCCAGCAAGAGGTTCGTGCTACTGTGATCCCAACAATCCTAGAAAACACGACTCAAAGTCAGGAAGCAGGTTATGTTTGGGACCGTGAGCCCCTAAACCCTAACCTAGACCCATGATTAATAAAACCCCGTCCCCTTAATAGGGATTATGAGAAGGATCCCAATATTCAAGCTATTGAAAGGAGGGGGTTCATTACGTCATGGGTCTACATTAAACCCTAAACCCCTAAACCTCAAACCCTAAAGCCAAAACCCCTATAAACCTTAAACCCTAAACTCCCTAAACCTTAGACCCTAAACCCTAAACCCTAGCGAGGGTATAACACGCGGAACCTCAGGCCCTTGCGAGTGCCAGGCGGACACCTCTTCCATTCCCCGGCGCCTTGCCTTAAATGGTTGAGGGCTTCGGTTCAGGATTTAGGGTTCAGGGCTAAGGGTTTGGGGCTGAGGGACTGTTTAGGCTTCAGGGTTTAGGGTTAAGGGACGAAGCTTTAGGGCTTAGACCTTGCAACTACCCAAAATACTAATGCAACTTACAACTACCATGCCGCTTTAAGCAGAGCTTTCTGGCTGCAAGCAAGCTCCCAAAAAGCAAGTAGGTCTTAGCAGCATGCATAAACCGCAAGAAATTTCGAGCTTCAAAGGTTCTAGGTCATATTTGTGTGTATAAATACATAAAAATGTACACACACACACATTGGCTTCAAGTACCAGAAGGTCAGATACTTTCGCACAATTTGCAATCACGTGTACGACCACCCACATGCCAACTACTGAATTGTTGAGTCCTTGGACACTAAGGGATGCAGTTGTATGTGTACATATATACACACATATGTCACATATACATGTACATGTACATATATATATATGTATATAGAGAGAGAGAGAGAGTTATCCTCGTTCTCGTACGTCCAGGCGCCACTTTTTCGAAGGCTAAAGTGTCATTTGCATACAGAACAGCTCCAAGATGTTGGAAGGTCCAACAGGCCCCTTGAACTTTGGGCGTCGACATCTTTGAACTCATGCTGCTGAATGACCTTTGTGTACTAGAATACCATAACTTAGAATTCCGTGACTTGCAGTAATAAGATACTTGCAGGATCCTTAGTACCTCCTGTAGGCCTAAGCCCTAAACCTTAAACCGCGGGTGTAACGTTGATGTTTTTGCCTTTCGCTAGGGATCCAAGTGCACACATAACACCTACATTGGGCCCTAACGTCTGTAAATATTACCTACATTGGGCTATTTGGACCCTTATACACCCCCATTTCCATCTAGGTTCCACTTCATTTTCCATTTGCTTTTCCATTTGATTCTGCATTTCAGGGGTAACAGTAACCCTTCCTAAGCCCTAATCCCTGAACCCTAAACCCTAATCCCTAAACCCTAATCCTTAATCCCTAAACTCTAAACACTAATCCCTAAACCCTAAGCCCTAATCCCCAAATTCTACATTTCCTAAATTGGGCTATTTGGATCCCTAGGGTTTTCGTTCTGCACTATCAAGGTAAACCCTGGTTGCATCAGGGCCGAAAAAGGGCCCTTTTGTAGATTACCGTCCTCTTAAAAGGGGCTTATTGCCAAGGGTTTATGGGGTTTCATGTGGCTGTGGGGCAGGGTAGGCTTGTTTTTTGTTTTTAAAGCTGGTGTTCGTCACCATGCGCGCCCCCTCCCCTGTATGATCCGTACGCCAAACCTTGAATCTTAAACGATTCGTGATTGTCATGCATTCCCATCCCACCGTCACATGACTCCGGAACCACCAAACTGAAATGGTTGATGGAGGAAATATTTCACCACCCTGGGTCACAGTTTAGGATTTAGGGAGCTGAAGGTGGTGGACGATTTCTTCTATCAACAGTATGTTCGCTCCTAGAAACCCGAAACCCTAAAAGCCAGATCCTGCCGACCCTGATTTACGAAGGCCACAGCGAACACAGCCCCGATGTATCTTTATCGACTTGGGGGCCGCAGATGGCAACAGCTACAACATGCCCCTGGGTTGCTGTATTGGGAGATATCCCTTGGGATCCAAGTACACAAATAACACCTACATTGGGCCCTAAAGTCTGTAAATATTACCTACATTGGGCTATTTGGATCCCTAGGGCATTTTTTGGACCTGGAGAGTATGTTTGCTCAAAGTAAGGGAAACTTTCATCCGAAGTAGTAGGTACTGGGTTCAAAGTTGACTAAGACGGGGCTAGAAGTGGCCTGAACCTCCAAGTAACCCTAAGGGTCCTAGGGCTCAAATAATGGTGGTTTAGGGGCCCAAATACGATAATCTGAATGGTATTTGGGACCTGAAGCCCTAATATTTGGGTCCATAGACCCTTAGAGTAAGGTATTGTTTCGTGCCGTAGCTCGTAAACCTTCAGGGGTGAGGGCAGCCTCAGTTGTTGGATGAAGAACGCTTGTACATGTGAGTTGTTCATATAGTGGGGACCTCGGGCATATCTATATATATATATATACATATGTATATGTATGCATATATGTATGCACACATATATACATATGTGTATAGGTGTATATATATATATATGCAACCCCCCCCCTCCCCCAAAGATCCACCGTTTTTAGGGTAAAAGCACATTTCAAAAGAAATTTACTGGGAAACTAGCCAAGGTGGACCTTGAAATTGGATGTATTTCCTTTTCCTTTTAAAGCGAATAATTGAAATACGTGAAAAATTCACACATTTTTAAGTACTTCTTAGAA